AAACTGAAATAACCAACGAAAATACACCAATGAAATTATTGGGCAGAGTCTTATTCTCCCTTGGAAGGCTTAACATGAAATCGAGGGGATATAAGAGGTTGGATTGCTAAATCTAAAAGAAATTCATTTCTCCCCAAGCAGAACTCCCTCCATACCAAAACACTGTTGCTATTTACAACGGGAAACAGTTCTACGAAAAGAACTTTCGTCAATTCCCATCCCGGCTTTAAGTCCTCAACAGGTACGACGACAAGTTTTCATCTCAGTGTGATATAGGAAGCCCCCACCATCCCCAATCCCGGAACTCGTCGGCCATACCCGGCCATCAATCAATCAATCAATCAATCAATCATTCGATCGATCGATCGATTAATCACCATGCATGATACTTCTCCACATTTCTGACTTTAGGCTGAGAGTTTTAAACTGTACATCTGCTGAAGGATCACGTACCGAGATGGAACATGCCGTCTTGTTCGTTCCTGGCTACCACCGCCTGGCCGACCAAGCTCTCTTCACAATGCAGAATGTACTGACAGTCACTCTCGAACTTCTCCGGGGTGAGCAGGTAGGTCTCCTCTCGTGGAATGACACTCTCGATTCCATCGTAATGCCGCACGTATAAACCGTTCACGTCTTTTTGGAGTACAGTGCCTAGGAAATGAACACACGCGTTAAGAAACTTCAATAATCAGGCGCTTTGTCAAAAGTACTTCTAATGACGCGTTTTCCCAGATAACCACATGATAGAAGTCACGTCATTTAAGTCGTCGCGCAACGCTCCTGTTCACTTACGGAGAAGCGTTGCGTGACGAAAAAGAAACGCGCGTGACGCTTTCCATACCTGGTGCATAGCTGTAAGGAAACGAGGGATGGAGTGCAATCACAGGGTCGTGAACGTCAATTTCATTATCGGCGTCATCAGCGTCTGTGATAATATGTTGCATGTAAATCTGCTCCAAGTCGCCCAGACTGTCTTCTACCAAATAACTACCGTCTCCACAGTCTTGACGGATTGTACCTGGTGAAGAATGGAGCAAAATTACGCGCGTTAACATTCAAAACAAAACTCTACCAAGTTATCTCTACCAGTGACAGTAAATGTTCACCGAGCTGAGAGCCACTGTCCTAAAATATTGAAGTCGTCATGTTTCAAAAAAATGTAGAAACAACAATTTACCGAACGGTTGGCTCAATAGTATTTGTCATAACATGTTGATTGGAAAGTCATATCGTAAAACCTTAGGTACTTGCTGAATATGCCGAGTTTACTGGCGAAAAACGTTTGCAGATCATTCAATTTTTGTTTTCAAAGTGAAAATTTCCTTAAAGATCGTTTTCACGTGACGTCATCACTCTCTAAAATCCAAAACTAAAGAGCCACCAAAGTTGTTATCCTCATCAGGCACAAGAGGCGGTACATTTAGTTCTGTTTACAATTTTACAGCTCAATAGCGTGCTTCGTTTGGAAACCAGAGCACTTTGAATTTCAGGGTTATGGAGGTGTGTGACACAAGGCTACGATTGAGTCTGATGAACAATATATACTTATCTCATGATTTTAAACCTTTTTAGAAGTTACAGCATTAGGAAACGTGCTTATGTGAATGCTTGTTTGTTCAGTACTGATAATCAGTCGCCTATATAGCCAAAGTAAGTTCCAGATGTTTACACTATTTTCCGGCCGCCATATTGGTGTACCACGGATATACACCAACATGGCGTTTTCATACTGGGCTCTGTAAATTTCTGCGAAACATTTCCACGAACATCTGAAGTTTGGGGAAACGCACAGACCTAAAACTTGGAGATGTGTCTTATTTAGTTATCTTCTATAACATAACAATTTCTTAGCTTTTTCCACCGGAAGGTTTTCGATTTACTTCTTTATTGCGTGACAGTGAAAACGATCTATACGCGAGACTTGTGCGAGCCCATGAACACGCATGCACACACGAAAACGTCTACACACTGCCAAAGAATACAACCAAAGTACTTGTTACCTCTATAATACCATCCTTCGTCAGACCAACGGGCTAGAACTTCTTCTCCCACCTGGACAGGTCTCATAACACGACCACTTTCAACCGCGGGGTCCTGGTCTGGAGGAAGGCGAGCTGAAAAAAGAGAGGAAATGTTGAATGGGAGAAAATCTTTGGAAAATATGAAACTAAATGATTTTGCTTTTTACTAACAACTTACAAATTAAGAGCCCTTGAGATCCCTTGGTAAGCAGACACGCTTCATTGCCATTGGAAACGTGAAACTGGATAGCAGGGGGTTCCTCTTCACTGCCAGCAGGGGCCGGAGCCTCTTCTGCTTCCTGCTCATTGTCCGATACTGCTGGCGATGACGACGACGAAGAGGATGATGACGATGATGACGATTTGTCCTTCTCGCTGTGTTTAGACTGCTTGTCTTCGTCTCCACTATCAGGTTTTTCTTCGTCATGTTCACCTTCAGATCCCAGTGGCAGACTGTTGCTAGATGATCTTCTAGAGGACCGAGGACGGGCAGAAGTAGGTCTAGAAGATTCTGCAATTGGCGAGCCAGGAGAAGACGATTTCGCGGACTTTTTCTCCGAAGTACGAGAAGGCGTGCCTTTGGATGAAGACTTCTCGGAACCTTTGGTCGATCCTCTAGGAGAGGAGCGTGGGGACGAGTGAGCCGATGAGGCACTGGGTGGGGATATCGAGCGTGATCTCGGAGGGGAGACCGCTGGCAAATCGGGAAGCTTGACTCGCGGTCTCTCGGCTCTGTTATCCGCAAGATTGTTCGCTAATTGCTGTAAGAGTTGTTGTTGTTGCAACTGGAGTTGTTGTGTCTGGTTGAATTGTTGCATGAGAAGCTGTTCTTGTTGTTCTTTCTGTTTCCTCAGCAGATCTTGCTGCTGGTCCTGAACGCGCTTCTGTTCTTCTTGAATCTCTTTTTGTCTTTTACGAAAATTCAAAAGAAAATAAGATGAATTACACTTAAATTAAGTTATCAAGTTCGGGATCCACGTTGCTTAGAAGAAGGGGAGAGGATGGGTGATAACTCTTCCTTCAGGAATTGCGAAGTGTTAGCAATAACCATAGGAGTATTAGTACACTAACACCATCGCAGGAAATTGACTTCGCATGCTGGCGTCACTCTCCATTTAAAAACTGAGGGGAGGCAGGGTGGGGGAGAAAGGGGGGTGGAGGTGATAATAACTGATTTAAAACGGAACTCAAAGTAATCAAAGCCAATCACCGTCCCGAATAATGAACCAGTCAATCAACAAGCCACATAAGAGAGTATACCCTTGGCCAAGCACGAGGAATCAGAATCAGAGAGCCAATCAAGACACGTTTAGTGTTGCAACTGATTGGCTGAATAAAACATCTGCTCTGATTAGTTATAGCAAATGGCACGAGTTTTATGTTAGAGAATTGTAGAGCTCGGAAAACGCACCGACCAACCAAACAAAATTGTTTTCTTCAACAGTCTAAAGAAGAGAGTCCTAATCACTGCGACGGTATTTTCAGTGAACGTTGAAAGAAAGATGAGATCCAGTTATACAACAATCCTAACCTGTTATTCTGTTCATCAATCTGCTGCTGTAAAAACTTCTGCTGCTCATCGTCCAGCTCACGCCGTTTCTCCTTCAGCTCATTCGCCGCCTTTTCGTGTCGTTCTCTCTCTTCCTCCAACTTCCTCTGCAGATCCTCGATCTTTTTCTCCACCTCGCTCAGCTGCCTCCTGTGTTCCTCCTCTAGCTCTTTCTTCAGCTCTTCAAAAGATCGTCTGTCTTCTGACGCCTCTCGGGGTGACGCCCCTTTGGACGAGGGTGCAGGGCTTCCCCCAGAGCTTCCCTTGGGGCTTGCACTACGGCTTCTGCTACCATGACTGCTGGCGCGGCTGCTTCCACGGCTGCCCTTGCTGGAGTGGCTCGAGTGACTACTTTTACGACTGCTGGCTTGACTACGAGGAGACTCGTCTCCCTTTCCATTATCTTAAAGAAACAAGACCACAAAGAAAATAAATGAAATGAATGATCATAGACGCCATACACTCGGCTCAAAGCTAGTTCTTATAACAAGGAAGAAAAAAACGTTCCAGCATATAACATGTATCAACGCAATTGGCAGGAGGATGACCAATGCGTGGCCCAAGAGTTGAACTCAAGGGAGGGAATCTACGGATCATCTTAGGAAGACATTTTCCTTCGCAACATTATGGAAAATATATGAGAAAGAATTGGGCTGACGAACTTTGGTTAAGCACCACAAAATTTCGCCTGCTGATACCGACTGAGGTTGACAGCAACGCCCATTTCTGAAGCCACACTAGGAAGGCAACGCACGAGGTAATTACGAGAAGAAACGTTTGAGAAAGTTCATCAGTTACGACCACAAGCTTCGAAACAATTTCCGCGACTGAGGGGTCGAGCCCTTACCTTTATCGTCCTCATCACCCTTTGTGTACATCCCAAAAGGTGTTGTCCTGAAAACAAAGTAACGAATGTTGCGTTTGAGGACGAAAGAAATGCCGAAAGAGAAACTCCTGAATATGTCATGGTCTCACATTGTTTCAACTTACGATCGATATGAAGACAGCAAGGCGTCTCTGATGTAGCGACATGCAAACGTGTAACGTGCCTTGGAGATCTTTACCAGGTCATTCCTAAGAGACGTGATCTAAAGGAGGAAAGGAAAATAGAAACATTATACTCAAAAGGGTTAGACTAATAACTTTGACAGCTGGATCAATTCGTTTTAAAGGGCGGCGAATTTAAGAATTCAAGTAATCAACAACCCTAATAGAAACAGTCCCAAAGCCAGCCAGTAATATCGGAATGCTGCGTAAGTAAAGTTTGCATTGGAGCTCACTGGCCAATCAGGCTGGCGCTCATCTTCGGGTTCTGTAGCATGAGGTGACTAGGAGTAATTCTACTCCCCCCTGGATGGGATGCTAGTTCATCATAGGATTGCCCCATGGCATTAAATTCGTCGGTACCCATTTATACTCCTAGGTGGAGAGGGGCACTGTCAGAGTAAAGTGTCATGCCCAAGAACACAACACAAAGACCCCGGCAAGGGCTCAAACCCAGACCGCTCGATCAGGAGAGTCCAGCGCACAAACCAAAAGGCCACCAAGTAACCCTGCATGTTTACTAACATCTTACAACTCATAACATTCAACAAAAGGCCATGATTATTGCCCACTTTGAAAGGAGAATAATAATAATAATAATAATAATAATAATAATAATAATAATAATAATAAAAATAACAATAATAATAACAATAACAATAATAATAATAATCGAATGTATAATACGCTCAGAAGAAGTTCTCAACAGACATTTTTAATCCCGAAATTTTTTATTGATACGATTAATTAGTAATTGGACCTCGTGTCGTACAATTTAGGGGGTAATCGTGCTCGTATTTTCAAATCGGCCTCGCGCTTCGCGCTCGTCCGATTTTGAAATTACTCGTTATATGATGATGATGATGATGATGATGATGATAAGACTTTAAGGACTTAAAATAATAATAATAATAATAAATTTCGAACCTATTCTCGAAGACAAACTCCTAAGCGAAAGAAAAAAGTACCGAAAACGACTAAACGTGTACCTTATCTACAAGGTCAAATTTCTGAAAAAGCTCTCCCATGTCTCCCCTCCCATCAGGTTCCTTCGTGGTCACCCCAATCAAGAACGATAGGCGAAACACTATAGACCAGGAGCCATAATCGGGGACGGAGACCGTAAGCCTTGGGATCCGCGCGCACCTATGATATGGGACAATTTTTCTATTTTTAGAACA